TTTTATTTTTACAAGATTTACAGAAAAGATTAACATCACTCTCAAATAAATAACAGCCAACCTCTGAAAGGCAGGAGACACTACCCTAATGATCTGAAATTTTAGATTGTTTAGCCAACGGAAGACTTAAAAGTAGCTACTCAAATCTCCAACTCAGCGACTTGAAAGATTCCAACTCAAAAACGTATACGACCCTACGGCTACATTTTCCCAAGACCAAATCCCAAATATTCGACTTGTGGATCGGGTTTTAATTTTCATCTTCAAGATTATGAAAAATTCAAAAATTGTTCGAGGAGAAGGAATTGTGCGATAGTTTGGAAATGTTGACGATAATGTGCAATAGCAATGTACAACAGGGATTATTACACAAGGGAGGTTGAAGACTTATAGTTTAAATTATCCGAACAATTCCTCAGAGTTTCTCACCACAAAGTTTCTAAATGAAGGCCACTGATCAGCTGATAACAGCTACATTGGAATATTGCTCCCGGTAATCAGATGTATTGTTACAGTGAGCTGCGTATTGGTGACGGAATTCATTAACATTGACACCAGATGCTAACCTCCCACACACTTCATCAGGTTGAAGATACCTAGAACTCCGCCTGTCCCATCGTTAGTACTCTACAATTCTTACACGCAAAGTCACATAAATGACAGAACGACTGATCAGGTGATAATGAGCACAATTACAAAGCTATTCGGAATAAGAGGCGTTATGGCCTGTTATAGTGTTATAAATATAGCCTGCTGTGGGAATAAGGCAGCTGATAAAATGTTACACTTACTTTTAGGGGTTGCAGTGAGACTTAACAGTTAATAAAACTATCCCGTTAGCAGTTAGCAGTTAGCAGTTAGCGGTTACTAGTTAGCGGTTACTAGTTAGTGGTTACTAGTTAGCGGTTACTAGTTAGCGGTTACTAGTTAGCGGTTACTAGTTAGCGGTTACTAGTTAGCGGTTACTAGTTAGCGGTTACTAGTTAGCGGTTACTAGTTAGCGGTTGGCACTAGCTGAAAGATAACTGTACCAATAGTTGGTAGCTTGGAGAACTTATGTACTTGACTTTCGTTTGAATTCAGATAGGCGTACAAGAACTATATAGGAACTTTATAAAAACTAAGGAATATAACAAAAGTAATTAAAAACGATAAGTGAGTTGCTTACTAAGTAATGTGGCTAATCAGTCGGTCCCTTACTTTCTAATTCTCGCTAAGTACCATCCTATAAAAGAATTATAAATATAAATAGTTTCGAACATGATAAAATACCATCATGGCTACCAACGCTACTAACTAGTAGTAGTAGTGAGAGTTATTCAGATAAAATGCAGTGATATCCAATTGAGTGAGAAAATATGCATAACATTTAATAATAATTGTTGTAATATTTTATTTCTTCTCCGTGATTATCTTATCATTTATACTATTTCTTAGGGATAATTATCACAAATAACAACTTCCCCTTTTGTTCAATACTTTTCGGTATACCTTACCGGACTTTATTTGAACGGTCTTTAATTGGATGCCGGAGGCCTAGCGTTCATTTAAATGTCCGTTCAAATAAAGTCTTTCCGTCTAAGTCAAAGACCGTCGACATTTTTCTCAAAAGTATTCCATTACGAATTTATTGTCCAGGATATGACTACTTTTTAATTTCGGTATTTTCAATTTAATACCGAAAGACTAAATTATATCATTGGATCAATTAAAAACAAGTTGCTTACTGTTTTAAAAAACGATTGGAAAAAAAATTGGGAACAACGCCCAAAAAAATGGAAAAAGTTCGCCTTTATAATGATTTTAAATGGCTTCGAGCGATTACTTTAATGTCCGTTCATGCGATGTCCGGTCAAATAACGTCCGACAAGGAATGTTCCAAATAACCAACCGTCCGATTACCCACCAAGTGATCAACTATTATTGAACCAAACTTATCTAAGGAGGTATAGTTCGCTATCAAGAAGCCGGTAAGACTAAGAGCCCGGGCTGAACGACACTAAACCCTGTTTTGTATGGATCCTTAAATTTGAGAGTGAGTATTACAGAGAAATACGGAGATAAAGCAGTTAAATAAGCATAATAACTAGTACAGGCGGCCGTTACGCAGGACTATTTTACCGGAATTAATGTTATTTAACGGAAAATTATATAAATTAATATAATATAGCCATACCAATAATTGTGTCAGCGTCTATGCCTTTACGGGTTTAAGCGACCACCGTGGTCATACAAAAGAGTGATCTCATGTAATTGTATGTCAACATCGGATATAATATAATATATAATATATATATACCATTAAAATGAGTAATATTGTACAGAGCAATCAGATCACGCCTCCTCGGAGGTTGATAATCGGTTGGTTTATATAATCAGTAGTCAGTATAGTCAGTAATACACATTCTGCTAACCGATTAAATTTGTATGGGCTGAATCGTGTTCATTTGGAGCACTGCCAATGCCCTAAGGGCAGAGCAAATGCCTACAAAGACAAATGCTTTACAAAGATACCGAAATATCCCCTCTTCAAAGGTCGACAAAGAAGCAAGGTTATCAATATTCAATATTAAATAATATAATAATATAATATTAAATCAATATTCAATATTAAATAATATAATAATATAATATTAAATCAATATTCAATATTAAATAATATAATAATATAATATTAACCGTCAAGTTGCTCTTACATCCCGGATCTTCTAAATTTATTACCGTATCTTTTTGAATAGTTATGTTTTATGGATAAAACAACGTCAATTCGGTTAAATCGGGCGTTGCCTGCCACAGGCTATCCCGAATTTAGAAGCTTGCTTTAATAATAATAAATATGACCATGTTTATGGATAAAACAACGTACATTGGTAACATTAATCCGGTTTTCAGACAAGGGAACAGTTAGTGGACCCGACTAAATCGTACTTTCAGTGGAGTTGACGTCTTAGCCTTGCAACATGCAGGACAAGGTATCTCTTCACGAGGACGAGTGGAAACTTACAACTTCTCATCCATATAAGCAACCCCAGCAGTCTTCAGCACTGTTATTGGTAATTGAGAAGTAGATATAATATATATATATACTAAGATATAATATGTAGTATACTAAGTATCGAATGGAGTCAATCTACGTTGTATATCACGTTTTTATGATAAAAGTTCGTGCCGTTCCTTTATCCTCAGACCTGCGTCCTGCATACTGTCTTGGACCCCGCAAATCAGTTAATTGGATCTCGTGTCTGTTTTTACTGCCTTTAAGACTGCAGGACCACTGTGATGAATCTTTTTAACGGTAGTGCTAATTGATTACTGGTTCAATGATTATCGGCATAAATATCGGGAAACAAATTCAAATGGTGATTTCTCCATTCTTGATGCTGTGATTGATGACAATCAAACACAATAGTGACTTTAATATATGATAATATGACAATATTATCGATCAACTACAGTTAAAACTGAACAATTCATTTACACCTTCATGCAATAATTCTACTGAATCACACTTACAAAAGCTTATCGATGAGATCACCTTGCATGACCTCATAGCTATTAGGTAAGCACATATACGCTGTGTAATTACCGTATGTGATCTAATACCTGAGATACTGTAATTCAATAGTAGCACGCTTCATTCCTTCACCACAACACTCTTACTTTCGTTTCAATTTGAGCTCTTATAGTCTTGTTTTCTGCATTTCTACCAAGTTTGAACTATTTAAATTATTATGCGCTGATCTCTTACTTTACAAGCACGTTGCTATTAACCTCTGCTAATTACATGTACAATCGTTACTATTAGCTGCCATTTGTACAAGGACACATCAATTTCACACTGTAAACTGGTGGCACTCTGCCAATGTACACTGCAAAGCAAATTTATTTCAGCTGGTGTGTTTATCTTACGTTTATGTACACTTTGTGGTGCTTTACATACATCGAGCTCGCTGTGTATATAGTGTATAGACTATAGAGTGTATACAATGTATACTTGCTAATGATACTTGTTCTTTCTCGAATGTGGGTGCTTTGTTCAGTTTGTAGTGTCATATTGTATAATAATATACCTTGCTGTACGTCAACTTGAACACGGCTACATTTAGGGGCTAATTCCAGACTGATAATTAAGTAGTAAGACTATAGACTATAGACTACTAGGATTACAGTTTAATATAAAAATCTGGACGGAATCATTCAAATATAACGTAAAAAATCTGGTGATTTATGCCATTTTTACCCTTATATGTTCACGATATCTAAGATGAAGCAACTTCAATTTGTCTCTGCGAGTAAGTCCTTAAAGTATCGTGTCTCTCCTTTAAGTTAAAAGTTAAGTAAAAGTGTCTAAGAAAGGATCCCTTCCTTAAACAACGAGAATTGTTACCCAGGTTACCCAGGTTACCCAGGTTACCCAGAGTATTCTAAGAGTCTTGCACAATCCTACACAGAATCTGATAAATTCCGACACAAGTTAAAGTCAGTAATACTAATAAGTTAGTACGCCTAGCTTGTTCGTGCTTTTATATATCCAGGACTATATATTGTAAGTGGAGCAGTCATATGTTGAAAGATCTAACCTTGACATGACAGGAGAGGTGCGTCGTTCACTTGGAACAGCTACATTTCTATAACTCTTCACAAATATGTTAAATGCGGAAGTTTGTTAAGTTTATAATATTAAATATATTATAATATAACCTCCAGGCTTCACTAACAAGTCATTAGGAATGTATGACTAATACTAAAGAGTTGTTATAGAAGCCTAATACTATTAGAGTTTAGTTAATACAGCATATTAGTGGAGGAGGGTGGAGAAATCCAGAATCCTGATGCTAATTTTACTTTCACAGAAAATCCATACCTTATCGGACCTTATTTAGGCAGACATTACGTAGACGGACATAGTTTTGGACAGAGAGGGGGGGTAAAAGATGGCCAAATATTATTGACCATATCAGCTGTGAATGGCCCCTTTTCTATTTTCTAAATACACATAAGATTAAAACACAACCAATCACCAGCTAACACTCAGAAGTAAGACAGAGCATGGCAGGCCAGGAGACCAACAAGGAGACATCCTCACCAGAAGTAAGACAGAGCATGGCAGGCCAGGAAACCAACAAGGAGACATCAGAAACCTCAGAACAGTCTGACTCTCACTCCTCTTATGTTATACTGCAGGACAACTCTACTCTTCCGAACAAATCAGAACCAGAGCTACATGTAGAACAAAGCGCTGAACAAACAGAACAAAGAGCACATCCCAGCACATCCCAGCCAGAACAAAGCAAACCCTACTGCTCTTTCTTCCAAGAAGGCAAATGTAGATTTGGAGATTCCTGCTTGAATCTGCACGAAACAGACCCCAACCACAAACCTAAACAGAAACGCAAAAACAAGAAAGTGAAAAAGAAATCAGCCGAGGAAGAAGAAGAAACATGTTCGAAATGCAGGAAACAAAAGAAAAAGCTGAGAACAGTGATGGATGTAGTGAACAGAGTGCAGTGGGACGAACAATATAATCCGGAACACTTCATTGTAGGATATCTGGATAGGTAATAAGTTCTGTGGTTAAAAACACGACCCTAATCCCGTCTTCCACGCCTGATCTGATGTGATTCGTAATTAAGTACTGCAACATTTAAAACCTGGAGATAAATATACATCTAGATACAGGTGAACCATATTTGTTGCAGACAGGTGACAGCAATTAAGCAAATAAGGTTCATTTCCCAACCCAGTTCTTACAGGTAGTCTAATCTAACATTTTATTAGGTTTGACGGGCTAGTGGAGGAAGAATTCCTGAACTTTGATTGGAGTGACGTGACGACAGTGGACGATTGGGAGAGTTTCTGTATCCCCAAACACAGAGTCTACTACTTCAAACAGAACGGAGAGGTAGTGTGGGACAGGAAGACAAGGACTGATAAGATATTTACTGATAGAGAGATTAAATGTGATCAGTGCGATACAACGTAGCTGTAAATCTTAGGTTTATTAATAATAGGAATAAAGTTCTTGTAATCGAGTGATGTACTTGGATTGCACACGGAGAATTCGGGTTTGAACAATTTGTAGATATAATTATAATTGCTTTAATTTTTATCCATTTACTTGCACACGTGTTTTGATGATATCTGTTTGTAATTGTAACTTTTTATTTGTTGTTGCTCGTTAGGTTTAGTAAAATGTGCTATTTATTGAATAAATCTGTATCAAATCAATGTCGCCACCAGTGCCAGTAACGACTTACATTCCCGTGAATAACAAATCAGGAACATACGAGACTACTCAAACATTAACAGACTGAAATGAGCAAACTGACAACATCCTATTTATTAAATAGGATAACCTCAATAGTCAATAACGGTTACAGCTTAAAGCTGAAAGCTGCAACCGTTATTGAGGTGATACAAAAGACGATAATCTCTTCGATATGAATATAAAGGCCCTGAATTACTGGTCGTGAAATTGAATTAAACTGTAATTTACAGGCCCTGAAATTGAATCACAGGCCCCTAATTACAGCTTTACAGGCCCTTAATTACAGGCTCTGAGTTAGAGACCCGGTGATGCAGGAACTCCCCCCCCCCCCCCCCCCCCCCCCCAGGGAACTTCACACTTCACTGCCAAGACTCCAGGGACAGGGTGTAACACTAACAAATTAGCGATAGCCAGGTTATAATAATGAAAACTTCAGAAACTGTGCATACGATTTCTAATAAACGGCTGAGAGTTTTAGTTGAGTATAAGTTAAACTGTGGCTGAGATCATTCATGTTGACTCATTGACCCAGCGCGATCAGTGACGCAGAACATTGTAAAATTAACTGAAACAAACAGAATAATACATCGTGATAACAAAAGATCCTTCAGTGCTACGCTCTGGAATTATTAATAAAATCAAATTAATGCGACAAATTCCTAAATATCTTACGATCGCCGAATGGTCATTCTTTAAAATACAACAACATCTTGAGTTTTTACCTGGGGACCCCAGGCCGCTATTATGTTCGTAAACCGAATAGAGATTCGGCAGAATGACAGGCTGAGTTTCTACCCAGTTATCCGCTCTCTAACTATATCACTTTGTGGCCCGCTATGTTAATGTAGTACCCTTTTACTTTTTCACTGAACTACAAAGAGATTAACACAATCTTGCGTATCTCTTTCACAGAAAAGAGATATTTGCCGGCCCCGAAAAGGGAAACGTGTATCAAGCACAAACCTACCGCTCGGAGAGTTAGACGTCCTGTAAAGTACTAGTAGTCGGCAGCCAGGTCAGAAATACGTGGTGGTACTCTATTTGCGTAACTTGCCGACTCTCACTGTAAAAATAAAATATTCTCACGGTTTGAGATTTACAATTAAAGTGAAAGTTACTGTAATTTATAGACTATATAGACTAATATAGTGAAAATGTAAATTCGCGAGCTTTTGCTGGACTGTAAATTATTATAGTCAGTGATTATTACTGAGAGGTAAGATACTTAATGACGCGGTGGCCCCTGTCATGACCCTGTCAAGTATACTTGTTACTAATTGCACGGGCCATTGACGTCAAATGAGTTAAACCATAAACAGTAAACCTAATTCAAATATAATTATAATTATAAATCTGGCCTTTTACTGATACTGTGACACTAAGCGGAAAGTGGGTAACCTATTTTTATCCGTCCAAAATTCCCATTTTAGCGGCAAACTGTATATGATTTGAAAGCAACAGTAACACTAACACTAACATTAACAGTAACACTATGACTAACACTAACAGTAAGAGGTATTTACTGGATGTTAGGATTGTGTGATTCACACCCTATTCGGATACCAGAGTGGGGTTCCTTTAATTACCCGTTAGGAACGCATCTAAATCTAATTTGTGTGTCCACTCATTTGAGGTTTTTGAGAGTCTGTAGTCTGTCCCAAATAGGGTGAAAAAGACTGAAGTCGAATTGTGAATTATCATGGAATTTACCACTAAGCGTCGGTACGCGATTAGTGACGCAGACAGGGAAACATATTTTACTAGCAAGAACTTAACTCCAAAATAATTGTCACTCCTAGATCATTATCATGTAGTTGTTATAGTATACTTATAGTGGGGATGAAATTAAATAATTCCGATGTGAAAATGATTTGATAGTGATACTGAGAAGAAAAAGTCAAATAGTATTTTATTTATATATTTGGAATTTTGCAGCCAATTTAATTGCAACTACCGGGATTGGGAATTGAACTTAAAATTGATGCTACGGCCTAAAACTAATTTTTCGGTATCGTTTGAGGCACATAAAATTAGAACATAACACTAGCCGGCCCCATCACACATCACTCCGCAGCTGCCAGCTAAACAGTATACTTACAAATCCGTTTATAACGTACCGTTACGTATGTGTAATGTGTAATGTGTAATGTGTAATGTGTAATGTGTAATGTGTAATGTGTAATGTGTAATGTGTAATGTGTAATGTGTAAATGTAATGTGTAATGTGTAATGTGTTATGTGTAATGTGTAATGTGTAATGTGTAATGTGCAATGTGCAGATGTAATGTGTAATGTGCAATGTGTAATGTGTAATGTGTAATGACTATCACTGCTAAGAGTAAGACCGCTTTGCAGCTCATCTCCTTCGAATATATATTTATATTTAGAGTAAGACGCATATTATTTTTATCCCGAGCGTGTTAAAATTAAATCACTATACGCTGAAACTTTAGTATTTTTGTTAAAGGCAGCTGAAACAAACTTAGATCGACGTATTTTTAAACGCTGATTCCGAATCACCCACATGACATATGACATAGGATTAAAATGCATCACTGGCGAGTTACCAATGGCAATACACAATATCGGCGAAAACTATCTTTATTACGTGGCATGAATATGATCATATAAGTATAACTATAAGGAATAAGGTCAAATTTCTCGTTACGGCTAGAGTTTAAGCAGATGCTTGAGTTAGGGTGTTAGGGTTGGGATCAGAGTATAAGACTAACTCTAAGAGGGTTTTAGGTACATTGGGTCTCTGTCAGAGGCATATGGACTTGGAGTTGGAGAACGTGTTAAACTTAATGGAAGATTCGAACATCGCAGGTCGGCGTGTCCCATTAGCGATTAGTGCATCGTGCTACAAGTGTTAAACCTAGTCACGTGATGCTCAGATACTCCTGTACAGAGACACTGACAGTGACAGAGTAGAGAGTGATTATTAAGCAAAATAAATAAATTCCCTGCTTATTCTGCAACTGCAAGTGCAACAGGTTACAGAATCAATTTAATTTTACTCACTACAAATTTCCGAGCGTGCTAAATCACTCTACAGTCGATCTTCGAGATTGTTCTAAAAGGGCCCCCGATGGTTGTAACCAACTTCAATCGATGTATTTTCAGACGCTGATTCCGAATCACCCCCCATGTGACATAGGTGATAGGGTTAAATGCTCTCTGACGAGATATTGGCGAAAAACTGTATCGATCACGTGATGAGTCGTAGAGAACGGGTTAAAAAAGTCACGTGACAGTTGAGTGTAGAGTGATTAATCATCATCCACAAATTTCGTGAGAAATACCGTTTTTAACAGTTAAACATTAACATTATGTAAGTAAATACTAAATAAACATTATTATTAAACAACCACCTGGAAGGCTAGATGGTGGTAATATACTTTGCTCTGTGTTGGAACGCAGTATTGCACGCAAACAGACCATTATCAACAATAAAGTCCAGTAGAAACTCACCGTTCCTGTTTCTCAGACCATTACCGAACTGACCAATATGATTATTAAGGCCAGCATCATACTCTTTCCTACTGCATCTCCCAAGTCGGGCGTTAAAATCTCCAGCAACAAACAAATCGTATCGAGCTGGGATATTGATAGCAGTTTTCAGATCATTGAAATATGCAGGGCAGACCCAAGGGTTCAAAAGACACTGTTAACTATTTTAAACAAATTGATTATATTTTATGTCGTACTAACTTTAAAGTCTGTTTAACAGACTCCCGCTCTTTTTGCGGTGATTTTGTGAAATCTGACCATAAACCTGTGGTCGCACGTTTTAAACTTGGTTGTGAATACATTGTACATAAGCGGCCCAGGTCTGACAAAATAAGGTTTGATGTCAATCGCCTTAATGATTCTGATATTAAGTCTAAATTTTTTGATTCTTTTAAAAGTAATATTGATTGTAGAGTTTTAACTAATAATGCTATTTCTGAAAATTCTGATATTTTTGGTATATTGAGTAAATGTGCCGTCCAGGTGGTTGGTAAAGTGCCCCCGGGGAAGCCTCATCAGTACAGCGATGATCCAACTGTCGTTAAACTTTCAGCAGAGAGAAAGTCCCTTCAGCAAGAATGTAGCCTCACAGGGATAAGTGACAGGAGTGACCTCAGAAAAAGAATCAACCATCTCAAACGTACCATCAAAAAGAGGTTGAAATCTATCAACGAGGCCACTGCTAACGCCCTAGTAGATGTCATCAACAACACCGACAGCTGCAGAAGCATGTTTGAAGCGAATAGAACTTTGGCCCAGTGTAGGATAAGGAAAGATGGAGTGACTGTCCACAATGCAGACGGCAACACCTTAGGATCTGACTCATTAAAAGCAGAAGCTATTAAAGAATACTTTAATAATGAGTTCAATGACAAAGATGAACCCCACCTCCCAGCATTCATAGACCCTCCTGGTTGCCTCCTCTGTCCCATAACACCTGAAGAAGTTGGCCGTGCTGTTATGAAGCTGAAATCCGGTAGAGCGTGTGGCCCTGACGGTATACCTAATGAGCTAATGAAAGCTGCTGGATATCCCCTCCACTATGAGTTGGCTAGGATCTACAATCTCTCCTTTGAGACCAACACATACATCCCAGCTATTGGAGAAGGTATCCTGACACCCCTTCAGAAGCCAGGAAAACCCCGAGGTCCGGTAAAGTCTATCCGGCCCCTCACATTGCTAATTGGAACTCGAAAAGTCCTATCCCTCGTAGCCTTGAACAGAATCAATTACCACGTTGATATGTACACTGGACCTTGGCAGGCGGCATACAAGCAGGGTCGCAGTTGTGCTGACCTGGTTTGGTCTCAGAGAATGTTGACATCAGTGGTTACCAGGCGCTAGTTTGAGTATAGTAAAATCAACATTGACATGACCGCTGCGTTTAATACCATCCGCAGACAGACCATCATCA